TGCTGCCACCAATTCCCACCATCTCTCTGCCACCAGTTCTCACCATCTCTCCAGTGTTCTGTAAGGCCCTCTGTGTACTGGATCTAAGGAGATTTCAGCACAAGGATCCTGGGTCCAAAGTCATGCTCACACTCTTGGTTCTTTTTTTCCAATGGCAGAGATTTCCCCTATCCTGCCTCTACGACTTGAGACCAGATAGGCTTCTCTGTGTGGATCATAACGAATTATCGCTAACAAGGAGAAAAGTGGGAGTCCAAGACTCATAATTGTGCTCTTGTGAAACCTAGACACAGAAGATGTTGTCCAAGCAGAATAAGGAAACACTACATAGTTAAAAATCAGGAAAGGTGTGTATCAGTGTTTCTTTCTTCATACTTAACTCAGTCTGTATGCTGAGCAAATAATTTAAGAAGCTGCATTGTGTCAAGAAGAATAAATTCAGCATCAGATTTGGAGGTACTCATCAAAAAGCTGCATTATGCAGATGGCACAACATTGCTTGCCAAAAGTCAAGAAGACTTGAAGCACTTGTTGCAGAAGATCAAAGCCTTCAATATAGTTTATGCCTCAACATTAAGAAAGCAAAAATCCTACCACTGCACCAATAGGCAACATCATGAAAAATGGAGAAACAATTGAAAGTTGTCAATGATTTAATCTTACTGGGGTCTATAATCCATTGGAATCCATGGTAAAAGTAGTCAGGAGCTTCTCCAAAGTGCTAAAGAGCAAGGATGTCATTTTAAAGACTAAAGTGTGCCTGACTCAAGCTGTCATCTTTTCAGTAACTTCTTATATGCTTGTGAAAGTTGGACAGTAATTAAGGTTGAAGAAGAATCAATGCCTTTGACTTGTGCTGTTGTAGAAGACTAATGAGTATCCCATAGACTGCCAAAAGGAAAAAATAAGTCCATCTTGGAGGAAGTATAACCAGGGAGCTCCTTAGAGGCAAGGATGGTGAAACTTTTGTCTCACATGCTTTGGGTATATTTTCAGGAGGGGCTAGGCCTTGGAAAGGACAGCATGCTGAGAGAAGTGAAGCATCAGAGACAAAGAGGAAGACCCTCCACAGGGTGGATTAACAACACTGCTTTTCTTTTCTACGAAGATGGTGCCCCTGCCCCTCCCAAAACTGAAGCCAAAGCAAAGGCATTGAAGGCCAAGAAGGCAGTCCTGAAGGGCATCCACAGCCAAAAAAAAA